AACGCCAAAAATTTATCGTTAACATTGAATATTATAATAATCTCTATTTTCTACAAGTTGTTAACACTTTCTCGCAACAAGAATACTTATTTGTACAATTTAATCGAGAAAGAAATTCATAAAACACTTGTTCCTCGCAAAATTATGCGTATCTAATTGTCGCAGATGCGGAGATATAAAAATCCAATTTATGTGAAAAAAAATTCATAACACCCGTGTGTTAACCTTTGTTTGCAGCACCATTTGTATACATCGTGGAAACAGCAAAAGAACAGCAAAAAAAAAAAATAAAATAAAGTTAATTTTGACTTCATTGAAGCGTTAGAACACCAAATAATTTTATATGGGTATTAAGAGTCATTCAACGAGACGGTGTTGTATTTTAAAACCGCGTATAATTTTAGAAAAATATATAAAGTCAAGTATGTAACAGTTACATGAAAGGATTAAGAGCTAGTTTACAAAATGATCTCAACTAAAGAGCCGTGCACTCTTCCGTTCTCTTTACAAGATGTAAATGGTCATAAATTATGTGAATGGCTAATCGAATCGCTATCTACATCGGAGGTAAAAAATGTACAAAGATGCAAAAAACGTTCCCGTCGAGAGACCAGGGATAATTGATACATGGTGCATGTCGATTCTTTGACAAATCTCGAAAATCATCACCCTCGATTGAACTGCATGATTTACAATTGCCTCTTCGATAATAATAATATTCAAATTACAAGAGTATAAACATAAATCCATTATCGTCGTTCGGGAACTCCATTGCAAAGATTCAAAAAGCGGAACAACACACTATGCTGTCTCATTCGCATAAATTCATCCAACAGGAAACAACGTTGATAATCTTTCAATTTGTTAATATCGAAAAAATCAATAAACAGACCAAGATAATAGAACAGTACAATGAAACGAACGCGTTCACAAGATTGTTGCAAAAAGTGTTACAAAAACGGGGAGTCAGTTAAACTGGGAGTACGAAGAACAATATTAACGGCAAACACATAGAAAAAGCCGGTGTTCCTCGGCTGGCGAATGGCGGAGTTTAGTGAACGAAAATCAAAATGCTTTATTCAATCCACAGAGAACGGACATTTTATTATCAGCAAAATGTGAACAAAATCAATAAAATCGTGGCCGTTTGAACATGAGGTCACGACGTATAATCCTCTTCTTATCACAAAAGTAGTAGCTTAATTTAAAAACGTACGACGTAGGACGATCCTCTCTCTTTCTTTCTTTCTTTCTTTCTTTCTCTCTCTCTCTCTCGCTCTCTCTTTCTTTCTTTCTTTCTCTCTCCTCGTTGGTACATAACTACGCCTATGAATCGCGATTATGTTACAGGGCGATTTCTATGTATCGTATGGTGGTGCGTGTATCAACTATCCCCAGCTTCTTCTAATCGATGCGTAATGTACGCGTATGAGAGTTACTAACCAAACTCGAGCCGGCAGAAGAAGCAGACGTGGCAGCAGGGGTAGGCACCGTCAATATTGGATGATATTGTCTACGACCGCGAAGCCGCATGCCCCGAGACCAGCGTGAGACATCAGCCGTACCAATTCTCTCGCATGGGACTCGGCCACTTCCAGCGGTGGTCGTCGTGGCAAGTTACTCGATTCTGTAAACATCAGGTGATCAACATTATTATCAAATACAGAAATAATTCCAGAAAAATGATACAAGAGGTTATAAATTTAAGTTAGAATGACTAATTAGTATGTTACCATGAAATGATAGAATCAATTGGTAACTAGTAATGGAAAAATTGTTCAATGAAATGATATCAGATCACACTGAAGTGATTAAATTGGTAAAGATGGAGAAATTGTGGATAAATCTCTTGAAATGTGATCAAATAGTCAACTTAGTAAAAGTTGAAAATTGAAAACAAAATATCTAAGTAATCAAAGTGTAATTGAATAATCAAAATAATAGGAATCAAAGATTGAGCATAAAATAACTATGTAGTATAGTGAAAATAGTAATATTGATAGGAATTAGAAATTAGAAATTGGAAATGGAATAATTATATAATTGGTAGATCACAGTAAAACGATTAAAATATTAAAGACTAGAATGGTTGAACAATTATATTAAATGATTAAATTACTGGTTCATAGTGAAGTAAACAAAATAATGAAGATTAGCAACTGTAGATAGAATGACTAAATAGTTTAGTGCAATAATCAAATTAATAAGTTACAACAAAATGACCAAATTAGTGGAGATTAGAACATTAGATAGAATAATTAAATAGTTCTATAAAATGGTCAGATTAAGTCACTGTGAAATGGCCAAATTAGTAGAGATAGAGAACTGGAGATAGAATGGCCAAGCAGTTCAATGAAGAGGTTAAATTAGTAGAGACTGAATGTGTAATCAAATAATTTAATGAAATGGTTAAATTAGTAGATTGATGACTGTCAAGATAGAATGACCAATTACGGGTAGTTGTATAATGAATTTCAGGAAAAATCTAGTAAGACTAGTAAACAGACTGTACTAGGAGACCTTAGATAAGAGTAAAGAACCTCTGTTCTTTTTCTCTATTGTAGAGGTGAATGAACTTCTTATAGAGGTATGTTGAGTGTGAATGAACACCTGATAAGCTTCTTATGTTAGATGAGCATGAATAGGGAGAAATCAAATGACTTCTTATATTCAGGACATACACTTCTGACAAACAGACAACTACTATGCAATTTTGGTTTTAGTGTAAATAAAATGTTTATGTTGTTCCACAAGAACATTGTATTGTAATTTTCCTTACATGAAAAAAATTTATAAAGACTGACCACTATAAAGAAATATGAACTTTAGAACACAAAAACTGTTTTTACTTATTACATATACCATGTTAATAAATTTAAATAAATTGTCTGTGTTGTGTAATAATAAAAATTTATGTGATCTCATATCTTTCATATATTCTTTTTTGCTTTCTTAATTCAAAAATGATAGTTTTGAAACTCCAAAGACAATGATTCTTCAGAAGTTTCAATTGTCATATTAAAGTATTGCACTAATGTAAACGTATACGCAAATACGTTATAAGTAAAATATATTACCTTCCACAAACAGAGTAAGGTTAATCATTCGAACTTAAATGACACAATCATGTATTTCAGTTGCATCATACTGCATGCATATGGTATAAGCAAATATCAAAGTGATTCACTTACCGAGTATGGCAGAATTGAGTCTCGCACAAACGCTTTCCCTTTGTTGAGGGTCAAGTTGCCATCCAACTGGCGAGTTCCATGGATTGGCATAAGCTAGAAGACTAAACGCATCTTGGAGCATCTTTTTATTGCTTTCATTCTTTCCGTGCTGCTGTCGCAGATGTAACGACTGTGAATGCAACTGTCTTCCAAATTCCAACATCTTCTCGATTGCCAGTTTGTCCCCGCCACATAACTGTTTCTTGTTATTTTTATTCAATATGTTTTCCGAACTGCAACTGCCGTTTTGCTGTTGCTGAGTGTGATTAACACTGTTGATCTCTGAGAACAAGTTAAAGTTTATTTTAGAAAATATTCTAAAACAAAATTTTAGGTAATACTGATAAAAAAAAGATCAAAATGAAACATATCGATTTTTATGAGTTATTATAAACAGCAGATACAGAATTAAAATCATTTAGGTCAGATTTCATGCTGTAAGCAAAATAATCCAGTTTTGGCAATTGTAAGCTCGAATTTCTAAACATTTTTTTTTATTAAACCCATTTTTCTTCTTTAAAAAGAAAACTACCTGTAAATTTTTCATGGACAATATTATTTTTGAAAGAATAAATACTACTGAATTACAGTTTCAATTAGGAGAATTAAAACACAACACAATCTTTTGTTTTACGAAATACCTATGCAACTAATACAAACAATTTTTTTTCGATTTTTGATTTGCCTATAAAGCATTGCTAAAACCAATGTATAATACTCCACATAATTTTTGAAGGAAAATAAGTTCAAGAAGAAAACATATTTAAGCGAATCAAAAGCAACACAATAACGTCTCACCCATGTCGACATCCTCTCCATTCTGATACTTGTACCCATTGGTGCTTAGATCACCATTTTGATAACCATTCTCGGTATTACTTTTCACGCCGTTCATCACATTCTCTTCCATATCTACATCATTATCGATCTGTCCATTAATGAGCTGCTGTTCAGTGGAACCGTTCATCGTGTTATTCATGTTCATCTCCTCGACATTACCATTTGTCGAAGACTTGGTGTAAGCCTTTGTGGACTGTATAACACTAGTTTGATTGACATTGGAGTTCTGGGAAATTTCAGAATCGCTACCATTCACCATCTCGACGAACTGCCGACACTTTAGGGCAAAGAGAAGATTCGGATCCCGTTCTAAGACACCCGGGTACAGTCGACTGGTTAATTCTATGGCTTCTCCCATTCTGCCTGCCAGTACCAACTTGAGGATTTCTAAAACAATGGACATTACTTTTTCCATATGAATATGTTTTGTCAACAAAATATAAGTAGCTTTTAAAAAAAATTAAAATTTATTTGTAAATGCATTTTATATAGTAGTTTCATAAGTGAATTTATGTTCTTTGTTTTCTCAAATACATTATATAGAAAAATAATGAAAATGTTTATTAAAAAAAACACTTACTTTGTCTATTTTTAATGGAGTTAAGATCTTCCTCGAATCCCTCACCAGTACTGTTGGCAAACGCCTCGGCAGTGGCACAATAACCGTGGTGGACTAAATATGTTAACACCATTCTGAAAGAATAAACAAAAGATATTAAGACATGCTGTATAGAAAAATGACAAAAAGTATATTTTTTATTTTAAAACACCTGACTGTTAATCTCAGTTGTGACCATAGAAGAATAAGCAATCAGTAGAATTAAATATCCCCTAATATGTTTGTATCATTATATTATTTTTCATATTTTTGAATATATGAATACATTATCATTTACAAAGTTGCATATCTTGAAACATTGAAAAATTTATTACTTTTAACATGTACATTTTGTAGTTAGAGTCATTTTATTATCTGCTGAACTATGCAGCAGTACTGAGAACTCATAAAAATATGTAATTCCATTAAAAAACAACTTCCATGAGTATAAAATTTAAAAAAAAGAAAGAAAACAATTGTTATGTCACCACATTTACCTGCTTCAGTTATGTAAGTTTCACTTCTGACAATATTTTCAATATCTTAAAAAATATTACAGATACTTAGGTGTTTCCCTCTGTGTGGTAGCTCATCATATGTGTGCTGTATTTAAACAAAAATTTGATTGCTAATCGTCAGCATACGCATTGAACTTGGATATTTTTAACGCGCGCGTATTATTATGCGACAGGATGTACTTATCTACAAGGTTATTCTACATTAAACTGATGCAGTACAAAACGCGTTGCTTCTTCAATCCTTTGTTTCATTGCATGACACTTTGCATACCCTTCAAATTTATTAAATTTTCAATCACGTGCCGTGAGTTCACTTTGAACCAAATTGGACAACAATATTGGCTTGCATATTCATGAAAGTATTGATCAACTGCAATATTAATGGTCAATGTGTGACCAAACAATTAATAAGCTTCATGTTATTTATCTTAAGATAGATGTAGTTCAAGAGGAAAATAAAGATTCTTTTATTACCATGTATTAAAAGATCAATTCTTTACTATTATAGTCTATTTTACTAGGCTAAACTTGCGAATTCTTCTATGAAATATAATGTTTAAAATTTATGTAAAAATATTGAGCCACATTTTGATATACATTTCTATTCTAACTTGCAAACAAATTAGCATCAAACGATTCTTTCAATTATTAAAATTTCATTTTATAAAAATGAAGAATTTTTAATGCTATAAAAATGTAAATTATTTTTCTAAATTCTCCACAATTGTTATTTTCATGGTACATATTTTAAAACATTTTACCTTAATTCCAAATTACAATAAAATAAATTTTAATTTATCTTTCATAGAAGAACATAACTACATAAAAAAAATACTTGTAACTTTATTTGTTGTTGAAAAATTACTTAAAAAAAAAATCTTCACCTTTACATTTGACTTTTATTCTGATCATTTTTTTTGTCTTAATAATACGAGAGAAATAGTTAAAAAACATCAACTTACTTGTGAAGAACTGCTTGCCACTGACCCTGCCCGTGATCCGGCGTGGGGTAGTTTATAATTTGCAATCTTGTTTTGATACGAAGTTCGTTAAGCATTTCTTGAATGTCAAAGACGAAAGGTTCCTGTCCGAAGTTTGCATCTACAACTTCCCCTGGCGTTTGAAGACCCACCGTTGGATACAAATTTGGCTGCAAAGCAAACAACGAATAACGATTAAAAATTTGTTCCAAGAACTAACAAATAATTTTTTAAAACAACGGGAATAATTTTGTTATGTATATAACTAGTACTATTTGAAATTTATCAATGTAAATTATATTCTTTTAAAAGAAACGTCGAATCTATTAGTTCGTTAGTCAATTAGTGTAACAGAGGACTAAAGATTTTTGGTTAGCAATGAACTGGTGTAAATAGTCAAATTTATCAACTTTTTTCTAATTTATCTAACAATCTGCAACTTTTTTTACATTAACGTGCTCTTCTTGACATAGAGTAATTTAATATTGTATAATTTTTTATCTAATTTACCTTGTTTTCACATTATAATCATATATGTATAACTGAAAAACATTTTCAACGGGAAACTGGATCGTTATAAATCATCTATTTTTAATGTTTCCCAAAATTTACGCGATAATCTACATCTTCTGGAACAACGTAGTGTTGTACTAGCACCGTTGACTGTTTTAAAGATTTATACGATAGTAAATTTTGTAAATCTCTTAAGTAATAACCAACTTATTTTTCAAAACTTAACATAACAGTATACAAATTTTTTTATACTAACATGCTATTTACCATGATTACACTATTTGAACCTAACTTGTCCATTTGTAAATTGACTTAACTAAAAGGAAAGCCAGGAAAATGGCTAAGCAACTGTCAAAGAGACGACGTCGACCTGTTTCTAGAACAACCACGAACTACGTTCCTATTAATTAATTGACTTAAAATCACTTAAAAATGAGGCTAGGGTGTGCTACAATAGCACACTGTAACTGTATCAGACTCTCATAAAACTAACTGCAACATGAAAAGGACCTGAAGCAGACAGCTTACACCTAGAAACCTCAAATAATATTAGTCCTACATTTGTTTGAACATTGAACATGTCTTTCAGTAAACTTTAACGAATTCACTACCTACCGGGAGATCAGTGAAGGCGATGCCAAGATGGTGTCCGTTCTTCGTGTAGAAGGCAGTGTTGTCGACGAGATTTACTCCACAGCCGATCACATCCCCTGTTGTGAACGTGGGTCCATAAGGTTGCCCTGTTCCAGAGGAACAAAAGCTGTGTCCATCATCCCCATGGTATCCATAGGAATGCTTGTCCCAGCCTGGCAGCCTGTTTACATTTACACCATGGGCAGACAGGCCAATTCCCATATAACCATCTCTGCCTTTACTGATGATCATCACCTCAAAATAATAAAGACCACAGGCTGCTGGTATGGGGTGTGTTGTACGTACACTTGCTGCATCCTTGTGAGTTTTTCCATAACCTGAAAGATATGTATTATTCATTAGTTTCACATTTGCATTAATTATTATAATACAGAAGGTTTCATAGGTTGTTGAAAGAGGAGCAGTAGGAGTAAAGTTATTTATTCAACATTTTAATATTTTCTGTTATGAAGAACCATAGAAAGAAATATTATAGTGATAGTACTCTAATATATACATATGTGAAACTTATCATTTTGCAACTTTCAGATTTATAATTTTTCTTTTGCTTTCAATTATTCTATGTTTCTATGTAAATATGTGGAAAGACAGAACAAACAATTGAACATTGAACTAATTAAATTCTATCAATTTAATAAAAAGCTGCAATAATAAAATGTATTGAAGATTAAGAACAGAAATTTTAAGATGAAAAGGGTCTATTTATACATCAAATCCAACATTTATTAACCAACAAGTTGTACGCATTATTTATTATTTGCGTGACAAAAATTGAAACGATCTCTTATGATTAATAACAAGAGATCACTACTGATCAATTACATAAATAGATCTCTAATCCAATTTAGAAAAAAAATTATTATTTGCATACAGATACCCTCTTTTAAAATAAAAAAATTTGCAACCTATACAAATAAATATTTAAAACATATCATTTTCATTAAAATTTTATTAAATTTCGTACAGTCCTGTTGAAAACTTGTACAATGATCCATATAAGGGGTGAAACAAAAATAATTTTCAAATAATATAACAAATTGAAAAATATCGTTTAAATAATTTCGAGATCATTTACACGTGAATAGAATATCGGAACTTCGTCGTTTTCTTTTCCTTTCATTTAAAACAAGTTCAAAGAAAGTGATCCACGGACGAAAAACTTGAGAAGAAATTCGAGAACAGAAGTGATCGTTCGTCGCAATCTAATCGCTAATCTTGGATGCACTTGCGATGCAGTGATGCAGTTTGTCGACCTAGTAACCTACAGTTACCCATTTCACATTTAATTAGGTATAAAAGAATTATTAACATGTTTTACTACAACAGGCTGGTGAAACCCGCGTGTACATTGTATCGTTGCGTCGAAATAATCGAACGTTAATTATGCAAATATTAATGTAACAAATTAATTTACAAAGTGCTCTGTCTACCATAAACAATAAGCTTCTACTGATTTATTTAATCGACTGTGTAGATGTTTGTAGATAAGCTGCTCGTAGGTATTAAATATTCCAAAACGATATTATTTAGAGTCAACAATTAGAATAAATATTAAATAGTTTGTAAAGGAAAGATAAAATATTATAACACATGGCAACACTAGAAAATTTTAATCTTACATAGTATTGTTATTTCCGATAAAAGAAACAGAAGAAAGTTTGGGATATTTTAGTCCTGAAGAAACGTTTATCTGTAAAACTGTATTTATTGAAAGACTTTATGAAAACATAACATTTTCACGAAACATAAATATTTTTGATAGAAGTACAAAATTAACGTTCGAACAATGTATGCACTTTACTATGCTTTATATTCGAAGTATTTCCTTTGCGTGACAAGTACAATAATTAAAAAAAAAACTAGATAAAAATTAAAAACAGTGAATAGTAAGAAATTAAAGAGCAGAAAAAGCATAAAATACATGTGATATGTATACAAAACTTATACACAATGCAAATAAAAAAAATGATTAATGATTAAAAAAAACAATATTCATCACAATATGCAAAAGCAGAAAAGTTAAAAATTAGATAAATTACATATTGTTCGAGATAAAAATGTAAGGGCAACAAATGTTGCCTGCGCGATATTATTCACAGATGTTTATTTTACAAATTGCCTCGACGAATTACTTTTTCCTTTGGCGTGTCCACTAAAGAAATATGAAAAGCTTTGTAATTAATGAGTTAGCAATAGCACAGGGCAAACGTACGCATGCAAACACGGTCAATTAAATTTCACGATATCGAAATGGTCTTGTTAACATGAATATTGCAACAATTAATTCAATGTTAATTATTTGACGTTCGACTGCAATTACTAAAACAATTATAACGATGCTTGCTTACAATAATTCTATCACTTTTATTGTACCATTTAAAATGTATAATTAAACATTTTATACGGGCTTACGTGCGGTATTGTTCGTTTTTATATGTGAAAGGCTGATTGATTTAACGAAAAAATTAATTAAGCTTAATTGGAGAACACATATTTGAGCAAACTTGAATTTAATTAGATTTATAATCGTGATACGAATTTCACTTTTTTAAATAGTTTTCTTCAATTATTTATACAGTCCTTTCATAATTTTACTTTTATAAATAAATCAAAGGTAAATTGGGATGATCGGTTTAATGGAAAAATTTTCATTTTTAACATTGAACAATTAAGAATTAATAGATAATAAAAATATGACTAATCATTAATATTATGTGTGTAGAGATTTGTAAATATTTAATAACAAAAAGAAAATAGCGGCGATGAATAAATCGTTTGCGTTATTGCATTTAACTAAAAATAATTTCACATGAAAAATTTATTTAAAAAAAAGTTAGAATATGAAAAATGATGTTAAAAGAAAAGAAACAAGATAAAAATGGAAAGAAAAAAATTAAACACTGAATAGTGAAATTTGAATTACATATAGTGACCCATTTTTCTCTAAAAGATTTGCAAATTTGTTATGCAAAATAATTAAAATGAATATCCATCTTTGTAATATTTGCATAATATATACAAGTTAACTATATTTTATTATATTGCCCACAAATATACCAATTAATGTTAGTGAATTGTAAATTTGGGTGAAACAAAGAATTTATTCAAAACTGAATATAAATTATTTAGTTTTTCTTCTAACATCACTAAGATATTATAATTTATAAAATTCATTAAATAACTTGAAATATATTAAACAATATAATGAAAAAATTGTTTTTATTAATAAAAAAATATAAGTTTCATTAACAAATGGAAATTGTGGGTGAACAAAAGAATGATTAATAATAACAAAATAACATACACCATTGAAAATTTATTGTATCTTTTATTTTGCTTGTGAAATGGAATTGACATGCATTACAATGTTATTTTCTCATAACTGCATTTTTTCAATTAAAAAGGAATACTTGGTTCATGCAAACAAACTCATAACTTGAATGATTACTTATTTACAATATTCATTGTTATAATGTTAAATGATTCTTCAGTCAATATTAAGAAAAATATTTTTCATATTAATGTTTGACATTATTGGCAATCAAAGTTAAAAATAAGTATAATAATCTTTTACATTTTTTTGCATATTTCACATGCACATGCTTTCCATTCAATTTTTCTATTAAAGATCATCTACTATAATCACAATTTATAATAAATACATAACTAAAAAATAGAGAAACAAAAAGTAATTTTTATTATTATTATCAAAGTGACAAAAATGTATACAGTTTTATTCATGATTTTATTACTGCGAAAACAAGGATCATATTATTTAAAGCACTATGCAAGAAAACAAATAAAAATAGTATTTAAGTAACTGAAACATTATATAAACTTATTAATTTTTAAACAAAACTAATGACTTATAACCTACAATTGTATGAAGATTATTAATGAAAATTTACTCCCAATGCTAGTTCTATGGTTTATTATTAAAATTTTATTTTAAATCATTCAAATCATGCTTTAATAATGAAAATGTATAAATGACTAGTTTTTTTAACACATGGAATATAATTATTTGTGTTTATATACATAGTGTATACCTATAGAAATTTAAATATTGTGATGTAGAATTATTTATATTGTTCAAGAACATTAATATTTATTTTACAGAAGATTAAATCAATTATTAAGGACAATTAAGAAAATGCAGTATTTAAAGTTGTATGAAAAATACCATATAGACTGTAGTTAACGTTAATAGTATTGGTCACTCTCAACTTAATCATACAACATATTAACTTATTAAATACACATTTAATACCTTAATAATTTTAACATGTAATCTTAGTGATAAACAGAAATAGAAAAGCATTAAGGTTATCATACTTCAATTTTCTTTAATACTACCTAAAAGGTGTTTAATTCTTATATTGAAAATTAGTATGAAACTGTGAAGCAAAATAAATACTATGCAAAATAAATAATTAAAAGGAAGCAACACAGTAAAATTATTAAAAAAATTACGCAATAAATTTTGTGCCATGTCACTTTGTTATTAATGTGATTCTAAAATAATAATAACATATAATATACAGTATTCAATACAAAAAATTTACAATCTATTTCAATCATGCTATAAATGCAAAATATGTACATTAACATGTTAATATAAACAATTAATCTATAACATTTTATTTAAAAATAGTTTAATAATGAATACATTTCCTTCAGCAATTCATGTTTCATGTTTTCAACATTTAATCATCGTTTTATTAATTTATAAACGTTATTTCGTCTTAATATTTTCTTTCTCTATTGAAGGAAGTAATTATTTAACGTTAATAAACTGAAATTTTTCAAGATTTCTAAATTTCCCTTATTTAAAAGAAAAATGTCCTTGAATACGTCAAATGTTATGTTTTCGAACGTAAAATACATTTCCAGTATTTAAACTGTTTCGATTTTAACGTGGAAGTCAGGATGTAATAATAACAATAATAATAACACTTCTCTTATCGGCGTAGTAATTTACGTCGATTTACTGAATATCTAGAAGTATATAATTCGAATAATTTCAATGGTAAAATTTGTCCACTTCGAAACTGATCGACGAAGAATAGTGGACAAGCAGAGAGAGAGAGAAACAGAGAGAGAGGGAAAAGAAGAGAAACCGAGAGAGAGAAAGAGAAAGAAAAGTAACTGTTCAAACATCGCAGCTGTCATTGCCATTGCGCCTTCTCTACGCAGATGCATTTTTTCCATGAATTTCAGAAAAAATCACCCCCTGCGTGACACGGATCCACAGAAAACCACGATCGATGGGCAAATATTTTTACGAAATCTTGGGACACGATCGAAAATAGAAGCGATCAAGAGAAAGTCGAATAGAGACCATGACCGATCAGCTGATTCCTTTGTTTAGGTCGCTGACACACGCGAAACGGAGCCCTGCCATTTTCAATCGATATTACAGCCCCGTCAACGATTCGTCCATATCGAGCAAGAATCGAATCCTATTGGCCAGGATCGTTCCTCGATCCTTCAGTCGAAGAACTTTAAAAATCTTCCGCGAGAATTCACTGGGTGGCAAAGAAATCATTGGGAAAGATCGAGACTGGTCAAACGTACCTTTGTAATGAACACGAAGATTGTTTTGAGAAAGGCCGATGTAATTGTACTTGTCCTTGGGGTTCCACGATCGTGGCAACGGCGTTTCCTCTTCGTTTACCATCGGATAAAGCTTCTTTACACGATCGGTCCGGCTTCCCCCGGAATACGGCTGAGAAGGGTGCATAATACAAAGTTCCTTGCTGGTGGCGGCCATCTTTCTCCTGGGCAGCCCCACTACTTTCGCCAGTGGACTGTGCTTAACTGACTGCGCAACGGTCCTGCGCAACTCAGCTTTACCTTCTGTTCATGAAATGTGTGGTATATAGGCAGTATACTCGCTTGTAAAATATTTTAAATTATGGTAGCTGAGAAATGCCATCGCCATCTACTTCTAAAAGCTTAGAGAATAGTTTCCCATACGTTATTCTAATTTAACTTATAGTTAATAAGAACTTTCTAAAAAGAAACAAAAATTTATAAAAAGTTGATGATAAGCAGAAAAATGAAAATTGTAAAAATATAAATTAGAAGCAATAGTACTTTTTGATATATTATTACTCTACAATAGAGTTCATTTTTTCGTTGTTTAACAATCACGGTACAAAGAATAGTTTTTCAATAAATTGCAATAAACAACTACACTTATATACATAGCATGGTTATAATATATACGAAATTATTTTTATTTGTCATAATACAATACATTTAACTGTTTGGACATATTGCAATATTTTGAAATGTATTAAAATAGCTTAAATATATAATTACGATGTACATGAAAAATAAAAATTAATTATAATTATGCATAATAAAAAACGTAATGTTACAACACAAACGTATGTGAAATATTTAACGAAAGTTACATCATAAGATTTAACCTATGGAAGATAATTTAGTTTATAGCGCAGCAATATAAAATGATTAAAATTTGTTACGTTAAACTCTTCCACTGAAAAGTTTAATTATATATACATATATTAAAAAGAAATGTATACGTAAGAAATGTACGTAATTATTATTAATGCACGAAGTTATATTCAATATTAAAAAAGAAAACAAATGCTTAAAAAGGAACAAATAGTCATTATATTTATTGCTTTAAAAAGGCAATAGGAAGTGAATTCCGTTGGAAAATTAAAACTTTCCTATTTTTGAGATTGAATTTTTTTTTACGAATTTTTAAATAAATATTACTTAAATTGTTTATTTGGTATTTATTGAGTACATATATTTAATATAATTCTCAAATTTTTAAGTAATACGATTTATATTTTAATGCACATTTATGTATGTAGAATACTTGTAATACAAATGCAAGTAATGCAATGCATAGAACATTTTTAAAGTATTGTGTATTGTAAAAAAATGAAACAATATTTTTATTCATGATATGATGTAATACTTATGCTAAGTAACAAAAATAAATTAAGGGAAGGTCATTTTATTCTTCTTGAAACCACTAACAAGCTTCTTAAAATGAAGAGAAATTGTTTTATTACTGTACAATTTGAACAACGGTGAAATTAATGAAATTATAAAAAGTAAATTGGTTAAATTAGTTTAAAAATCATAAATTATTAAAGTAAATAAATATATTTTTTAATTATAATCTAACAACATTTTCTAGGGAAAACCATTAAGTACGGATAAGATCTATGTAATTGTGTATATCGGCTTTATTGCAGATAGCATGCTTGCAATGTCAGTAGGTTATTTGTTCCTGTTGTGAAGATTTTTGCGTATTCTGTGTCTTCAATTTGTGAAAATTATATTTATTCGAAATGTCCAACATATTTAAAAGGAGACTACAAGCTCTCAACTACGTAGAATGGGATAAAGTTAATGTAAATGGTTCGTTACAGTATACTTATTTCGACAAAAAGTTTTAACATATAGACATTACAATTAATA